GATTTCTCAAGTGCTCCTGGAGAAGCCCAGGTTTTTAATAAAGAAGCAGAGATCTGAAGAGAAGTATTTTTAAATGAGCACACACATCAGCTGAAAATCTTGAAAACCATACATCTTCGTCTGCAAAAACAGGGTTTTACTTCATTGACCATGGACAATTATCAGCTAAAGAACCATGTATTTCTCCTTTCCTTTCACACTCCTCAGAAGAACAATAACCCTCAATTAATGACACAACAGTTTGGTTTGAAAAATGTGATGTTGTCATATACAGCATTGTGCATTTACTGAATGACACTGCTACAAGCTCCTCAACAGAATATAATTACATCTGGAATCTAAAACCACTTCAATATGCACAATAATACTGTAGACATAGGAACTTTACACACACACACACACACACACACACACGCACACAAATCTGACACATAATGAGAAAGCAGAGCAAGAAAAAAGCTGGTGTAAGTCGCTCACCAATGTGTTCCTTATTTCTTTTGAAGCTGGTACCTTTCTATGTCTCTCCTTAGTTGAAAACAAGGTCCAGTCAGCCTCCTTACAATATATTAATTGGTTCTGAATCTCCTCCAAGTTTTCATTCCACCGTGGAGGCTTCCTCACCTATCTTATCAATAGTCCACCTAAAATTCTTCCAACATCTTCCCTCACCCTCAAGATGGCTACCTTACCTAATGGTAAAGAAACATCTTCATAGTTGGCTTTTATAAATTCCTCAAGCATTTCAGGATTTTGTTCTTTACCTGGATCAATTACATACATTCTCTAGAACTAATCTGTGAAGAACTCCAGTCAATGTGTGTGGACTGGTGTAGTATTGGGTCCTTCCTTCAAATCATCCTTACAAAATGTCTTCCTGTAGGACTACTAAATTCTTCCCAATTACAAAGGTGAAGATACCTGGACATAAGGTTTTCTCCACAGACATAATCTTTTAAAAATTTGTTTCCATAGTGACATTGTTAAGAAGACATCTGATATTTCTGAAGACTTACAGTACTTGAGAACACAGAGAAAAAGAGCAGAATGAAAGGGAAGAGGGAAAACAAAGGAACTAAAAGAAGGCCTTATACACAAATGGAACAACCTGAAGAGAAATGTGGACTCTGGAGAAACTGGGGTCAGTCAGTCTTAGAGTTCCTCTGAGATCCTGCAGGATTTGTTGTTGTTGTTGTTGTTGTTGTTGCTGTTGCTGTTGTTTTCCCTTTTTGCAGAAATCAGCCCAAACCAGACAATAAAGTCTTGCCATGCATCAAATCATGATGATAACCAAGCCCCAGAACTCCAAAATCTCAGCTTTAGGGCCACCACCATCTTCACAATGAGGAAATAACAATTCCTGGTGACTTTCAGGAGACCTGGAGCAGCTTAAAAGTTGGGTGAGGACCTCAGTGGAAAACGTTTAAGGTTTTGCCTTGCCTTTCCTGAAGGAGGTCAAAACCCTTCAGGTCCACTCAAAAGAAGAGAAAAAATTTCCAAAGTTTACTTTAAAATGGAAACAAATGCCTCAATAACTTGTGAAAGCACTCCTTTGGTGGGAGAAAAATCTGAGCAGCCCTTACAAGTCCCTCATTTCCTTGCATAATGAATAGATGGTGAGGAACCACCACAAGATTTCACCCTGGAAAAGGAGTAGGCAGGCAAGCCTCCTCCTCCAGCATCACCAACAGAGCTTCAAAATGGAGACATCCATAATTTTATAAACACTTCTCATCTCAGCTTTGTCTCCTGGAAACCCGCTCTCCTCCATTTTCTGGTGGAGTTACAACATGACACGGCTTACCTGACTCAGTTCCCAGCTCTCAACCAAACTAGTCACTTCCTCCAAAAACCTGCAAGCCACCTCCAGAAACAAAACCAAAGCAAACCAAACAACCAACACAGACACTCAGACACAACCCCCGGGAGCCCTGGGAGAAAGCCCCCACTGGTTGGTCTTTTCCCATCCCAGACGCGTGCTGAAAAATAAAACTTTTTTTTTTCCCCCTTTGGGTAGAGGAGGAATATAAAAGGAACTCCAGGCAGCCTCCCTCCCTCTCTGTAGGTTAGAAGCTACAATGAAAAGAAAATGAGGGTTCCTTCAGGAATGGTGAAAAGCCTGGAGAATGAACGTGAGAAGGAGCTTTGTGTTTTGGAGTCTGGACTGGAACCAAAGCAGACAGCTTGCAAATGGAGGACAGGGAGATAAAGAAAGGGAAAGAGAGGGGCTGCTCCAATGGGGGGCGGCTGCGGCTTCCCCGCGTGCCTGGAAGGAGGGCAGACCCCTGGGAACTGCACCAGGAGTGAGGCGACCCCCAGGCCCCTGCCTTCTTTTCTCCCTTCCTCAGAGAGCCAAGCGTGTGTAATGGCTTCTCCTCTCCAGAAACCGTTGTCCTCCTCCACCAGACGCTTCTGAACCCCCAGCCTGGAGACAGCTCCTCAGCGGCTCCTGAACCTGCGCCCCCCACCCGGCCCGCGCCCCCCCGCTCCTCGCCTCTCTTCTCACCAGCAGCACCAGCAACACCAGCAGCGGCAGCAGCCACCCCCCGACACATCCCGACCCCGCATCCCAACTTCGGGGAGAGAGAGAGAGCCAAATACCTGAGGAAGAGGGGGGTGCCAATCCGCACGGCTTTGCCATCGGGCTGGGGACAGGCAGACAGAGAGGGGGAAAGGAAGGAGAGGGACAGAGAAAGAAAGAGGTCAACCCGCTCGGGTCGGGGCGGCTCGGAGCGCTCGCTCCCTCTGGCTCTCGGCTCAGGTCCCCTCGCCTCCCGCCCTCCGCCCCCCTCTCTGTCCCTACTCCTGTCCCCACACTCGGAGCATCCGTCCTAAGCCTCCAGCTCTCTTCTCACTCATCTTTCATTTTCTCTTCTCTCCATAGAACTACACGAAATTAATTAAGCCACAGCGCTCCGCTCCCCCCAGCAGAAGGAGCAGCCAGCAGGAAAAGCACAGCCACCTCCACTGCCACCACCACCACCTTCTCCTCCTCCTCTTCCTCCCTCGCTTCTCCTCCTCCTCCTCTTCCTCCTCCCCCTCCTGCTCTCCCTCCTCCTCCTCCTCCTCCTCCTCCTCCTCCTCCTCCTCTTCTCTCTCGCTTCTTCTCCTCTTCCAACAGCCAGTCCATGCAGGGGACTTCCTCTTCTCCCGGCTCCACCAACCCTCCTCGGCCGAATGAATGAGCGCGTTTGTGCCTCCACCGCCCCGCGCTCTCCTCCCCGGAGCACTCGGACCACCCCGAGGTGGTTGTTAATTGCAGTAACTTACGGAAGAAGCGTCCCGGCGCCGGGAGGTGTTTCGGGTTCTCCAGCCCCACCGCCTCCTTATCCTCTTTCTCTTTCTCCTCTTTCTGCTCGGGTTATTGTTGTGGAAGTTGTTTGGGAGTCTCATGTGCTTCTGCCGGGTCTCAGCAATGGAGGATCGCCATCTTCCCTGCCTTCCTCGGCTCCTCAGACTCGCTGCAGCTGCAGATGACCTGAGATATCCGTCTCTCTCTCTCCCTCTCCCTCTCTCTCCCTCCCTCCCTCTCCCTCTCACTCTCTCTCTCCCCTCTCTCTCCTCTTCTCTCTCCTCTCCTCCCTCTCCCTCGCGCGCTCTCTCTCTCCCTCCCTCTGTGTCTCTCTCTGAATAATGAGCAACCAGAGGGAGAGAGAAAGCAAGACAGAAAGAGAGAAGGAAGACAATCTTCTCCTGCCACACAAAACGCCGGAGCACCAGGGGGTGCGCGAAGCCTTTCTAATAACAACAACAACGTGCAGGAGACAGGAAGAAAAAAGAAAGAAAGAAAGAAATGAGAAAAGGGCTGGTGGGGGGAAAGGGGAGAATTATCCAAGAGCTGAAGAAGAGCAGAAGGAGAAGCTGGAGGAGATGCTGAGGCTGCGGCTGCTGTCCCCCCTCCCCCCGGCTGAACCCCAGAAGGAGGCAAGGTGGTTGCAAAGTTAAGGCTGGGACATTGTCTTTGTCACTCAGAGCAACACAGAGCCAGGCCAGTGAGATGCACGAGGAGGAGGTGGCGGCGGCGGAGGAGGTGGTGGTGGTGGTGGTGGTGATGGTGGTGGTGGTGGTGGTGGTGATGGTGGTGGTGGTGGTGGTGGTGGTGGTGGTGGAGGAGGAGGAAGAGGAGAAGGAGGCAAAGCAGGAGGAGAAAGGGAAGGGGGAGATGAGATGAATAAAGACCTGCGGAGAAGGCGGTGCGAGGAGCGCGGCGGCCGGGCTGAGGCGTGCGCGCTCGCGTCCCGGAGGCGCCCGGCCGCCCCGGCCGGCAGAGGAAGCCCCCACTGAGGACCCTGCCCGGCGGCTCATAGCTCTCCCACCATCAGCCCAGCCCGAGGCGCCGAGCCCCGGCCCCAGAGAGTCCCTCACACGCATCCATCTAGAGGCCAATCTTTGCAAAGAACGTACATGGGAAGCTAGAGGTAGCAAGTCTAAACCCAGATCAACCACGTGGGGCTTTTTAATCCCTTTCCAGCTTGCGGTGTGAGTATCTCCAGTGAAAAGCTCAAATTGTCCATTACTGGCACGTATTTTGAAGTCTTCTCCCCCGAAATAAAGGCTCATTGTGCATTTTATTTCTTTTCTGATATGGAAACGGGGGTTGGGGGAGGGAAGGAACCCATCATTCCGAGCTTCGGAACAACCACTTTATTTTCCTAACTTGTGAAATGTTTTGACGGCGCACCAAAAGGAAAAAAAAAAAAAAAGCCTACTTAAATAACTTTACACCCTCCAGCCCCGCGTTGTTTGCACTTTCTGGCTGATCATCTAAAGGCTCGGAAAGTAACAATCAGCGCTTCTAATGATAAGGTGTCATGGTGTTGAAGACAAGAGAACCAAGATGAGGCTTTCACACCTTGAATTTTTATTTAGTGTAATTTTCCCCCAAAGCGTTCTGAACTCTCTCTTTTGCAAAGGAATGGGTTCCCCCCCCTCACCGGGTCGAATGTCTCCTAAGGCTTTAATTTGGTGGTGGTGGTGGGGGGGGAATGCCTACACTATAAAAAAAGAAAAATCAATACAGCAAGTCAGGAGCAATTGGAAGTTCAAGGGCACGGGCTGGTTGTACCATTTCTATTTCTCGCATCCCCGAGTTGGACATCACCAGCATCGGGAGAGAGAAACACACAGCGCGCGGGGCAAAGACCTTAATTAAAGTTTCTTTTGTCCGCGTCTGAATTGGGGGATGTCGCTGGATTCCTTTGCATTGGGGAGCGCGCATCCGGTGGAGAAGGCGCGGTGCAGAAGATCCAGACCAGATCGTCCTCTTTAATACTCCCTCCCCACCCACCCCCCAACAACAGTCCGGGAAAATATACCCATAAACCCATACAATAAAGGGGAGGAGGAGACGCGCGCGGAGTTGGTTCCCATCGGATAGCGGGCTTTCATAAACAGATCCGAATCCTCATTTTCCAAGGTTTTTCCCAATCGTTTATTCTGGGGCAGAATCTCTCACCGAGAGGCACGATTTCACCCCCTCGCAGTCAACACTTCCTGCCCTTTTCTCCTCCCACTCACATTGAAAAGCTTGGGAGCCCTAAAAGGGTGTTGATGGCGGGGGTGATAAATAAATAAATAAATGACACTCTACGCGTGCGGTGGGGAAGAAAGGAGGGGGGGGGAGGGCGAGGAGAGGGAAGAGAAAAAGTAGGGAGAGGAGAACAAGGAGGAGAAATCACAGAGGCGAAAGGGAGACGGGAGTCAAAGAAAGAGAAGAGAAAGAAGAAAGGAGAGAGGAGGACGGTAAGGCTTGCTCAGAAGTGAAATGCCCCTGGCTTTGTGCAGAACTGGGAGAACTCCCCCTTCAAGGTGCCCGGAGGGACCGGGGGAAGTCCTCCTGCCCCGAGCTCCTCCCCCGGGACCCCAGGGGTGTCTGAGCGCCGGTGCCGCTCCCCCACAAAATTCCTCGTGGCAACGAGAGGAAGCGCGCCAGGTCTCCGCCGTCCCTTCAGTGCCCCAGCTGATAATTTACCTCTTTGTCTTTAATAAAAAGCTGACTTTCTCTGTCAAGTCCCGCACCAGGAAAATAACAATCGTATTTCAGGTTGAAAGCCACTATTACCGCTGGGTTTTGGAGGCTGTGATAAAAATCTTCCTCGACGTGAAGGTACCTTCTGGGTTGGCTTGGGTCGGAAGTCCTAAGATGGGGGCCGCCCTTCCCCGGGGGCAGGGTCGCACGGAACCAGGCGGTGGGGAGGGAGGAGGAAGCGCCGAGGTCAGAGGAAACCCAAGGCTCCTGGGGCACCAAAGGGCTGCCCGCAGTCGGGGAATGAGCCCTGGGGAGGAGCCTTTTTGCGAGAATGCGAGCGCGCCCCAACACGCTTCAGACCTCATAAACCCACTTGGCAAAGACCCGGGAAGCGGCTGGCAGACCGACTGCGGCGAACTCGAGAAATTAACCTGCGCTACAATTAAACGGGCTGCCGCCCTTTCAGACTCACCTCCAGCGACCGAAACAGAGAGCTCCCGAACCGGCCGCGGGGGGACCTGGCTCCTCCCTCCCCGTCCCAGGAGAAGAGGACAAAAAGGAGAGATGGACTTGGAGATGGCCCCGCCCTTCAAACGCTCCAATCCTTGGAAACTAAACCTCCTCTCCAAGCCTCCACGTCTAGAAGGGACAAAGGCAGCGAGGAGATCCAGAGACCGATGGGTGGCTTTCGGGCTTCTCATGTGGGTGCATTGGGGGAAAGGTACAATGGCTAAGTTTCCATTCCAAATACAGGACAGTCTTTAAGAAGACCATCTTCTGGTTGAGCAGCGAATTGACTTCCCCAAGCCGTGAAGCGAACTATTGCAAAACTCCCGCAAAGCCCTGCTTTTTGAATGTAGGAAGGCTAAATTTTCAATTAATGATGCCATTCACAATTTCTTCGACTTTTTTGGAGTCACAAGTGCCTTAACTCTCCAACTAAAATAACAAAGAAATTTAACATGGTTGGGGATTAGGCTTTTTGTTCGCTTGTTTTTATTGGGGGCAGTTTTCTTTCAAATGATAGTAAAGCAACCGGATAAATAAAAGCTGGGTCAGTCAAGGAAAGCGCTGTGGCTGAAGGTTTTAGTGAAAACCTTGATAAAGTTGGCACTTAAGTAACTGTAATTATGCTTTGCCATTAGCGGACAATTAAGATAACAGGAGAAAGTTCTCACCTCCTGCTATGTCATTCCTTAAGAATATTCACAAGGATAACACAAGCCTAGTTGGTGGGGTATCTTCTCCCCAGGAAGGTTCATTTCTAAATTTTTTGCATTGAAGATGGAAAAGCTTAGGTTTTGTGCACAGCCAACAATGTGAGGGAAGTCTCATGGGGACATGTTGACTGCATGAAATTTGCCTTTTGCTGCTGTATCCCATGCCATTATGCCCCGGGGTCATATGGGATTTCAAAACTTTATTAATGTTCATAAGGAAATATGAACATGTTGGAAGTCTGGACTTTCTTCTCCCTTATCATGGGTGACTGGCATGCAGGCTCTTCATAAAGGGAAATTATGGCTCATCAAAAGAGTGTCTTTATGAGCATTAACAGAATAATAAATCTTGCAATTTTAGTTCAAGAAACAGTAGAGTCCTATAATCAGAGTGACCCATGCAAATATGATCCACTTATGTGCCCACCTCCAGCAGGATAGGGGTAGCCTATAAATCATTTTGGGTTTTAAAGGTTTAGGAAAGGAAGGCACCCAGATCTCTCAAACAAAAGTGTTTATGGGAGGAAAAGGACCTTCTGTCACCTGCAGGAAGGAATCATGGAAAGAAGAGTTGGTCCAGAGGCTACATTAAAAAGACAGAATTTCAACTGAAACAAGAGTTATTCACTCCTGTTCTTATTCTGTCATTGTTATGATATTTACATTATATCATATAAAAAAGGAAAAGTCCTCCTTACTGAAAGCTACACACACACACACACACAAAACCCAAAAAAATTCCAGTTTATAACCCCACTTTTTAAATTCCATCTGGAAAACTGTTCATGCTGATGATTTTAGCAAAACAAAGAGCAAATGAATTGAGTATGGCTTTTTCAGAAGTCTCAATTATTCCATCTTTAAACATTTGACCATATTGTGATAAGCCTCTTGAACTTGGTATTTTCCCACCTATGTAAAACTCCTTTTCCGTGCAGTTCAATATAGTATTTTACTATTTGAGTTCCTGATTTTCAAAGGGTTATTCTAAATTGTTGAGATCTTTTACTGTCATCGGAAATTACTTTGTCTTTAAAAAGTTTTTTTTTAACTTCAAATTCAGTAATTATGGATTCACCAAATATCCAAAAAGTTAAGTCACTAACACCTTCTTTCTGAGCCCTTACAGAAAAATCAATATATTCTCATAAACCCATATCCAGATATGTATAACTAGTTGACTAGTGTCCATGCCTAGGGAGGAGTGATGAAAAGGAGACAAAGGTGGATAATTCATGATTCTGAACAGCTCTCAAGGGAAGAGAAATTGCGCTAACTTATATTAAGCTTACTCCGTATGAATATTTGTATATATACCTTTGCATACCAGAGAGGATGTTTCAATAGCAATGTTTTAAAATTCCAAAAAGGAAAAAATGTCTTTTTCCCATAAGTACAAGTTAAACTTACAGTTATATCAAACTAGTTACCGTAATATGGAACATTCATATGTAATATTATTCAATCATTGAATATCTGTTTAGCAGCTACAAAGTAGAACACTCAAAGCTGAATATTAGGGATGCAAAGATGAAGAGGAGACAATAGGTTTGAGTCTCAATGCATGATCTACTTGTTGAACCACTAGCTTTAAAATCACATTACTTGGTTATAGAACTTTGTTTCTTTCTTTTTTTTTTTTTTTTTACTTTCTCAAAAGCAATACAGGAATTTAGCCAATTTGGAGACTATGATTAACTTGAACATTTCTGCTCCTATTACAGAGTTATTGAGAAGTAATTTTTGTTAAGGTAAAATTTTGGGACTTCATTTTAAAGCCAATAGCCTAACTCATATTTTTACATGAATTTCTTTTTTTTTAAAGATTTTATTTATTTATTCATGAGAGAGAGAGAGAGAGAGAGAGAGAGGCAGAGGGAGAAGCAGGCTCCCCGCCTAGCAGGGAGCCTGATGCGGGGCTCGATCCCAGGACCCTGGGATCATGACCTGAGCTGAAGGCAGACGCTTAACCATCTGAGCCACCCAGGCACCCTACATGAATTTCTTAATAGAGAAGATCTTTTTAGGAAAGAGAGCAACCTTAGCTCAGCTATGATTAGATTAACCAAAATTCAGAAGAAAAAGACTCACCTGAAAGACTGCCCATTTACAGTATATCATATAAAAAAGGAAAAGTCCTCCTTACTGAAAACTATACAAAAAACCAAAAAAATTCCAGTTTATAACCCCACTGGGGTCTAGCAGAAAGACCAGTATTTCCAGATTCCTGCTACTTGCACTGAAACTAAAGCTCAGAGAGGGGACGTGACTTAGTCAGGACCACAGAGCTGGTCAGAGGCAGTCAACTCTAGAAGCTACGCCTCTATGGCATTTTCCTGAAGTCACTGTTCTCAGATCACTTTCAAGATTTTTTTTTTTACATATTGCCATGTTATTTACTTAATATATATTATTTTTAAATCAACTTTAAAATAATTCAGCTTTATCAAAATAATACCCATGATATCACAGGTCTGATGGCTATTTTATATATACATTTTCAATGCATATCAAAGTAAATATATTATTAAAATTAAAGTAACAAAAAACTTTTGGATTAAAGTACAGTCTGATAGGATATACATGCCAAACTGTAAATGGTAAGAGGTGAGAAAAGTGGAAAGGAAAATGTTTGAGCTATTTTTGTGTGTTCAAACATGAATCACTTTTACAATTTAAAAAGTAAAATAATAATAATAATATGGTCTAGCAGTGACTACTATGCCCCCAAATTAAGCCCTCCCATTGTATATTCCTAGTGGGAATTAAAAATTGGCACAAGTCATTTTAGCACAATTAACAATATATATTTAAAGTCTTAAAATGGTCACACTTTTTGTCCCCTCAATTCCGCCCCTAAGAATCTATCCTAAGGGACCAACCAGAAATGGAGAAAAAACTTATACAAAAAATGGTACAGGTAAAGTAAGTAATCGAAAAAAACTTGTGATTAAGAGAAGAGGAATGGTAAATAAATAAGAATATATCCCCACTATGATGTATTAGGCAGCTTAAAATTGTTAGGAGGATTTTGTAATTAAATAGAAAAATGGCCTCCTGCTAGATAAAAGACCTAGATACAAAATTATGATCACTGGTTATTTTTTATAACATGCACGCACATGCAAATCACCTTGAAAGGAAATATACCAATGTGTCAATAGTAAGTTGACTTCTCATAAAAAATTTAGAAAATGTGGAACATATATAATCTATATTATATAATTGTATATAAAGCATATATATGTGTGTGTATACACACACACACACACACACACACACACTGCTGTGGAGTTGACTGCTTTGTTTGAACTGAGTTGTCAATTATCTGTTTAAGTATTTAAAAGCATTTTAAAGTTAAATGATAGAACCTCCTTTTATGTATCTTGTAATTATAAATGAGTTTCAAAGAGCTAATTAATATTGTTAATAAAATAGTGGACAGTAACTGTTTTTAATAAAAATAATCAAATTTGCTTTTCACAGGGACAATAGGAAGATGTGAGTGGGCATTTTGAGTATATTTTATATACAACAGGAAATTTAAGACCAAAGAGATTGAATGATTTAACCTAAGGTCTTCCAAAGCTAGTGGTGTAAAGAAAACTAAAATCCAGGTCTCCTAACTTCTTACTCTTGCATTTTGAAATCTAGAATTCCACTATACTCTCAAAATATTACCAAATATTATCAAAATAAAGTTACTAATGGCTAGTATGAATAAAGTTCAACTTCATCAGTTGTGAAAATGAAAGCTATGATACTCTTTCATATTACAAGTTGGCAGACATATATACTGCATCATGTGTGTATTTACATTTACCAGTTGTTAAGAGTATACATAATTCCCAGTTGTGAAGGATATGGAAAAATAGACCCTTTAGTTCTCTGTTAGTGGGACTATGGCAAGTTTCAATCTTTCTGGATATATTAAAAGTCTTTAACCCAGAAACTTAACTTTTAGAAATTGACTTAAATATTCATGACTGTCATCAAAAATTTATGTGCAAGGAGGTCCATTGTGGCATTAATACCCAACAAGTGATTGGTTAAAGAAAATATGTTCATCTATGTAAAACAATATATATATATATATATATAGCTATCAAATTCTATAAGAAATATTCAGTGACACTGAAACATTTACATGATTTTTTGATAAGAGAAAACCAGATTTGTATTGTATTGATTTGTATTGTATTGATATATATCAAAACAATATATATAGCATTATTCCACATGTGTATGTGAGTATGTGTGTTTATGTGTGTATTGAGCATTGGAAAAGGATTAGGAAAGTATAATGAAAGTGTTAGTTTTTTCCAGGCAATAGAATTTTTCTAGGTGATGTAATTGTGGGTATATATATATATATATATATATATATTTTTTTTTTATTCACTGTGGCTTCTCAGATTTTTTGTTTGTTTGTTTTTTAGAGCGGGATGGGTGGGGCTGAGGGAAGAGGGAGAATCTTTTTTTTTTTTTAATTCCATTAGCCAACATATAGTACATCATTAGTTTCAGATGTAGAGTTCAGTTATTCATCAGTTGTATATAACACCCAGGCCTCATCACATCAGTGCCCTCCTAATGCCTATCATCCTGTTACCCCATCCCCCTACCCACCTCCCCTCCAGCAACCCTCAGTTTGTTTCCTACAGTTAAGAATCTCTCATGGTTTGTCTCCCTGGGAGAGGGAGAATTTTAAGCAGGCTCCACACCCAGCACAGAATCCCAACGTGGGGCTCAATCCCACGACCCTGAGATCATGACCCGAACTAAAATCAAGAGTCCGAAGCTTAGTCGGCTGAGCCACCCAGGAGCCCCGACTTCTCAGATTTTTAAACATTTCTCCAATGAATATATCTTTTTTGCAGTTAGAAAGGAGAAAATTTAGAACTTGCAAGTAAATTTTGGCAGCACAGAATTTCTCTTCTATCATAATCACTGACCGAACCAAATGTTTGTCTAACGTATAAAGTAAATTTTAATCGTAAGGTTTCATTCATCATTATCTTAAAACATACACATCTTGAAGTCCTTGCATATATTCATTTGATTTCCTAAACAGCCTTTACTCAAGAGTTCAATGTTCAGATTTTGGATAATAACTGCCAGCATCAAATTGTCTTGACTGTTTCATTCACTACCACTAACCCT